TCTCTGTAGAGAGGGGGAATTGAGTTATTTTGGGCTAAGTTAGGAGCAGGGTGGACCTAAGTAAGGTGAAATTGTGGGGATGGGGTTGGGTGGGAAGAAGCTGGCAGAGCAGGTTAGCTGGGATCCCCTTCCCTCCAAGCCTCAGCATAGTTAGGATGCAGCAAAATTGCTCCAGCTGCGGTACCCATGGCCTTAATCATCTCCAGAGTGGGGTGGTGCTGCTGAGGCCAAGAAAGAATTCCTCCGGCGGGGGGCTCCTTTAACTGAGCTTTTACAAGAATTGTGCAGTCTGGCCACGGCGGCTTCTTACACTTGCCTAGGCTGGCTTAACTCCTCTTCCTTCCACAGGAGGTGTGAGGAGATCCAGCTTCCCCATTAGCTTGGGACCTGCGTCTTATTGACTGTGAGCACTCGGGACCCCAGTTCTGGGGCCATCTGTGACCTGTCATGCAGTAATAGCTTAGTTTTCCCCGTGTTCAGCTCCCTCCCTAAGTACTTAGTGTTAAATCACAGGGGGAGGAAGTGTGAGCAGAGGAAAAACAGCACTATTACATGACCCCCGATGAGACCGCTGTGATAGAATTAAAAGCTGCCGCCCTAGGACATTCTAACAGATGACATTGTGAGGTTGCCAAGGTAACCCACTAGGATACAGTCCCAGCATCTTTGGGGTTGAGGCTGGGTAGGCAAGGTCAGTTAGAGGTGAGACCCAGCTGCCCAGGGTCTCTCTCATGACTGGCCAATCCATGGCAGCCAAGTGGAAAATCCAGGCAGCTCTCTACAGAACACAAGCGAATCCAACATTTGGCTCCTCATTAAATATTCCAGGTGAAAGAGAATTAGAACACTCTGGATCATTGCTGGATGCAGGTTAAAAAGAGCCTTAAAAGATCTGGATGCTATTGGCTCATCCATTCATTCCACACATATTTACTGAACACCTACTATGTGCCAGTAAGCACCAGAATATCAAGAAGATCAAGAGTTCTAGAAAAAACCTCAAAAAATGCATATTCAAACAGGGAAAAAAGTCATTTAAGACATTTGCCCACCATGAATCCTCAGGAAAATACTGAGTGGAAGAAAATGGAAACAATCAGAATAGCACAATAACCTCAAGGACTGGTATCTTTAAAAAAAAAAGAATAAAAGACAGCACAAAAAACACAACATTGTGCAAAAGTTTTATAGAATGAAAATGATTTGTTTAAAAGAAATCACCCATCACTCCTAACCGCAACTAGGTTACCCCGCATTCCAGGCGTCACCACCCTCCTTTTTTCTTTATCTTCTTTTAAATGCCTACCTATCAATGTTAACGCCTATCAATGTTATATTCTTTCTCTGGTCTAGGGACCAGCAAAGGATCAGAAAGATTTCAGATAGACCCTGACTTGCAGCAATTCGAGGCCTCAGGCAGACAGAGAACCTGAAAGGCCCTCCCTTTGGCTTCATCAATGGGTGTTTACAACTACTGGTGATGCCCGTGAATACACGTGCCCACACACGATGTTTGAACCTGGACTTAGGTGATCACCTGGTCTTATTTTCTTTCATGTGGCAAGCTCAAGTGTAGGGGGAAATGGGGGACATTGGGGATAGTGGTGGTGAGTGACCCCAGGAAACGGTGGATGGAAAGGAAAAGGAGAAAAAAAAACAAAACAAAACAGTGGGGAGTGGGGGAAGGGGGAGGAAAACAGAACCAGAGAGGCTATGGAAAGAGAAAACAAGGAAGAAAATCTCTGAGAAGCTATGGTAACAACACCAGTCCCTGGAAACAGAACAGTCCTTCTTTACCTGCTGGAGGAGTGTTATTAGTACCAGAAGGACCTCATCAAAACATTGCTGGGCCCCTAAATCAGCCCACCACCCTGTGGGCTCCAGTGCTTAACTTTGCTCACACAGGGCCTTCTTTGCCCAATTAGAAAATGGAGATAATTAATTAGATTATCTCACCCTTCTTGTTCCAGCCCCCTTATAATAATGATAGTAGCCACTGGGTGTGGTGGCTCACATCTGTAATCCCAGCACTTTGGGAGGCTGAGGTGGGCGGACCACAAGGTCAGGAGATTGAGACCATCCTGGCTAAACCCCATCTCTACTACAAATACAAAAAAAAAAAAAAAAAAAAAAATTAGCCGGGTATGATAGTCCCAGCTACTTGGGAGGCTGAGGCAGGAGAATCACTTGAACCCTGGAAACGGAGGTTGCAGTGAGCTGAGACTGCACCACTGTACTCCAGCCTGGGCGACAGAGCAAGACTCCATCTCAAAAGCTAATAATAATAATAATAATAGCTAAGTTATAGAATGCTTCCTAAACACTTGATATATAATAACCCATGAAGAAGTGCTATGTGACAAATAGGCCCAGAGCAGTTAAGTTGCTTACCCAAAGTCACACAGCCAGTAAGTACTGAAGCCAGAAATCCAACCCTGGCTTCAGTACTTACTGGCTGTGTGACTTTGGAGTTAAGTGATCCTCCTCTTAACCCCTGAGCACCTACTATGTGCCAGTACTTGGTTTAGTTTTAGGAAGAAAATCTTTTCTAATAGCTCCTTCCACACATGTTCACTTTACTAAGGCAGCCTGGTTTACTGGTTTCATTCCTTGTATAATTTTCTCCCTAGGTGCCTCAAGTTGCCGTGCAAGATGATTCTCCAGATCTCAAACCTCTGGACATGTTAAGTAGGTAGACTAGGAGGTGGCAAGGGAGACAGTGGCATTACCCTTCCCTGAAGCACTAACTCCCAAGAAGTGATTCTGGCAGCACCTGAGATGTCTGGGGACGCTCCCACCTGTAGAATGGGGTCGAGAAACGGTCCTCTCCCAAGTCTGCCCCAACCCCACTCCCAGCCATCAGCACCTTTATGGCAGTCGCCCTTCCAGCATCCCGGCTCAAATCTTGAGGGACCCTAGTCTCCCACGCTCTCTCCTGACAGCACACAACCTTGACTGGGAGGGCTGGGAGGGAGGATCGGTGAGCCTCCGACCCCTGGGTCCTGCGGCTGCCAGGGTCGCTCGCAGCTCGGCCACGTGGAGGTGACCGCGCGGAACTCCGAGGGGCGCAGGGAGAGCTGGGAGGGTCCACCGCTCCAGCGGCTGCTGTCAGGGGCCGCGCGGCTTTCCCTGAAGATGCAGCGCAGCATATTTTGCACATGAGTTCAGAGGAAGAGGAAGTGTAGCCGGCGGACGCGCGGCGGCAGCGGCGGGGGCGCGTCGGGGCTGGAGCTGGAGCGCGCTGGGCGCAGGGCGCAGAGAGCGAGAGCGCAGCGGCCGCGGTCTCCGGGGAGGGACAGACGCACCGATCGCCAGAGGGACAGACGCACGAGCACGCGGCGCCACCGCCCTCCACCCACCGGCGCCCACGTCCTCCCCCTGCTGCCTCCTCTGTATGGCACAAACTTTCCTCCCGGGACGGATCACGCTGTCTTTGGGAGCCCGCGCCCGTGCCTTCTCCTCCTCCGGTCCCAGACGGTAGGTGGGGACGCAACAGGGCCTGGGGTGTCGACCGGCGCAGGCCCCTCCGTTTGCCCCATGGACCAGGTCCCTGGCGGGTAGTGGGAACCACGCGTGGCGCCTCCCTCCAGGTTGGTCTGTGCCGGGGCTCCGGGACTGCCAGAGCAGCTCCCCAGTCCGGGTCGGATGGAGACCTGGGCTGATCAGTGGGGACGCCTGGATCTCGGGCCAACTTTTTTTTTTAGGGTGTGGGGGAGTCATTCCTGGAGTGATGTAGGGAGAGGCACTCCGGAGCAGCCTGTAGGGGGTCTTGGGCTCTGCAGGCTCAGAAGCGCTTAGGAGGGACACGGAGGTGGGGGAGCTTGGAGGCTACAGGTGGGTCCAAGACACACTGCCGCAGGGGTCCTCGGAAAAGAACAGGTGGGAGCTCATCTCAGAGTCCAGGTTTCAGGGGTGAGCGCGGCTGGGGTGGGGCAGGGTGGAGGCGGTGCCTGGCTGCCCCTCGGCATGTGCCCTGGGAGGTGGGTTTGCTCTGGGGACAGAAATACTGGACGGGTAGGAGCAGTCAAGCTGCGCTTTCGGAGAAAGTGCCCGAGCCACCAGAGGCACAAGGACGCAGGGCGCGGAGAGTCCTCAGCACTGAAAACGGGGAGCTCCTCTTCTGTAAGGGATTTTTTTTTTCCCCTTGTCTTAACCCACTTCTCTAGACTCAAGAGACGCCAGCATGGCTGTGGGACTAAGCAAGGAGGAGGTGGTTTTATATTTCAGGAAGCACCGTTGTTGGGCACGTGCACCCGGATCCCAGGCCGGGGCTAGTGCCCTTCACCTCGGGTGTCGCTGCCTTTGGCAGCAAGAGCCTCGTGGAGGCCAAGGTTGTAGACCCAGGCGGGCTCCCTGCTGTCTCTCCATGCCTCTGTGCTTGCCCTCAGCTGCCCTGTGTGGTTGTGTGTGATCCCTCGGGACGCTGGGTGGTGTCAGTGAGTTTCTTTAGGGGCTTAAAAACAAAAGAAGTGTTTTTTTTAAAAAGTCTGGCGTAGTCTCTGAGTGGCCACCCCAGTTTCCAGCAACAGCTCCCTTGTAGTCGGTACAGCTGTTTCAGGGGCTGGGCGCTCAGACTAGACATCTTCCAAGCCCTGCCATCGTGTGTCATCTCAGGATAAGTAAGGCCTTGCCAGGAAGGAAGCTGGCTGTAATGTGAGCGACCTATGGGCCTGTGGGTAGGGCCACTGTGTTCCTCCCTTCTCCCCCGCTGCCGGGATTCCTAATTTGTACCTCTGAACAGCTGAATTCCAACGAAGTTCAAGTGACCCCAGATGCCACCAACCCCCACAGACGGGTTACGAAGCAGGCTGTTTGGGGCTCTTTGGTGCGTGTGCGCTAACCTCAGTGAAATCACTTTAACCTCACACTGAGCTCTGCATCCTCTTTTGCCTTCAGTGGGGTTTCTGGCCCTGAGGAGAAATTCAAAGCCCCAGAGCTGGGACGTCATCCTCTGGCTGCATTTGTGTATCAAGTCACTAGGTTGGTTTTTCTTTGTTTGCTTTTTGGCTGTATGGGCATGGGGCAAATGGAAGTGGAGTGCTGTGCAGTTAGCTAGTAGATTTGGTACAGGGATTGAAAGATAATAAATTGGGAATACAAGTCAGTGAGTTCTTTTTCTTCCTCTTGAGCAGGAAGTTTTGGCTTATATTCAAATGATTGCTTTGTCTGTAGGGAAACAAGCAGAAAATGTTTGGCGTGAGTGATGTGTGTTCCCATAAAGCTACTTGTGTTCTTCCAGTCTTTGCTTTTCAGCAGAGTTGAAACTATGTTGTCCCGTGGCTTGGTGGGGCATGGGTGCTTTGCCAAATATCTAACTTGGTGGACTAAGGAGTGGACACTGTGACTCTATCCCCATCCCGTTCTTTAAGATATGGAAAAGTTGCAAGAACGGTGACCACCTAAGTATACATGCCTAGAATCTAATTCACATTTTGCCATATTTGCTTAACTACACACCTCCCCATTCATCAATCCGGTATCCGTTCATAAAACATCCAGCTGATTATTTTATGATTTTAAAGTAAATGACAGATGTTGGTACAGGTCATTCCTGAACATTTTCAGTACATATTTTATATTTAGACTTCAAAATGTGTTCATGGCTTCCTTAAGGTAAAATTTATATCCATATAGTGAAATGTGCAAATCTGGAGAGTACCATTTGCATAATGTTTTGACAGATGCGTGCACCTGTGTAACCCTAGTCCCTCTCAAGACAGAGAATGTTATTGTCACCCCGGCAAGTGCCTTCATCCTCATTCTCATTCTCTGCCCTCACCCTCTCAGTGGCAGCCACTGCCCTGTATCTCATCATAGGTGAGTCTGGCTTGTTCTTGAGCTTCATATAAATGGAATTCTACAATATTGTGTAAAGCTTGCCGTGTTTTTAGATTCACTTGTGTCGTATCCATGATTTGATCTTTTTTTTATTGCCGACTTATGTTCCAGAGTATGTCTACTCCACAGTTTGTATATTCTGTGAATGGACGCAGGGATTATTCGCGTTTCTTTCTTTCTTTCTTTGGCTATTGTGAACAAAGCTGCTATGAACATTTGTGTACCAGTCTGCCTAGGGACATGCGCTCTCATTTCTCATGGGTAAACACCGAGTAATGAATTGCTAGGTCATAGAGGAGGTATATGGGAACCTGATAAGAAACTGCCAGACCTATTCTCAACATGGTTATGACATTTTACACTCTCATCAGCAAAGAATACCAAGTTTGAGATTTAGATACTACAACCCTGTCCTCTATCTTCTCAAGAGCATGCTTTGACTAGTGCTCTTCTGGGGCCAGAGGGAAGCAGAGGCAGTGGGGAACATGCTGTTTTCATAGGTGGACGGGCCGTAGGAAGTCCCTGACTCTGCTTGTAAATGGGTTTAAACTGAAATTATTGCAGGCGATCAGATGAATATTTTATTTTTAGATATCTTCAGAGAAGGGAATTCCATAGGGGAATGTACCCTTGGTTGTGAAAGAAGATTGATTGAGTACTTTCTATAAAAAGAAAAATAACCCCAAGCCCCACAGAATTTGACTAAGCTTCTGCCTGGAAACTCCCGGGGGATTTCTGGTATGGTTGATATTAACTTGGTGGAGATTCCCCTTGGACTTCACTGGCTTGGACGGCCAGCTATTGAAAGGGGTTGTGTTTGTTTTGTGGGGCAGGTCAGATTTGGCTTTGTGAAGACTCAGAGAATGACTCTCTTGTGAAAGTCATTTGACCTCTCAATGAGAAACATGGCCTGACAACATCCCTCTTATTGTCCTGGCTGAGAAAATGGGCCTGTGCCCCTTAGGTCCTCTAATACCTTAGTTCCTCTCTGTGGTGCCAACAGCCAAACCTTGCCTTGACAGGCCCAGGAAGCGGGAAGTGAACCTATCTGTCTGAATGGGACTCAGGATGAATTTTTGGCATCTCATCAAGGTGTCCCAGGGCTGACCAGGCTTTGCAGGGGTCAGAGGGCAGACAGCTCAGAGTCTTAAGACGTTGCCCTGTGTTTGGGGACCGTTTTCCTCTTTAAAAGCCTAATGCAGTGCCTGACACAGGGTAGGAACACAGTGAACATTGACTGAGTGATTTTGTGACTTGTGATACCCTTCTGGGTGATTGACTCTCTGGAGGTTGGCAGTGGGTGTCAAGATGTCAGTGCCCCAAGATGTGTTTTACTAGAGGGCACTTTACAATGGCTTGGAAAACACTTTCAAAGGGTTTGGGCCTAGGAAAATTCTGCTCATTGTAAACTTTCGTTGTATTAACACTGTTCTCTTTATTACAGATTTTAATATTGTTAATAAAATACTAAGAATTATAGCTGCCACCTGCTGATCAGCCCTGGGACACCTTGATGAGATGCAAAAAATTCATCCTGGAGTCCCACTCAGACAGATAGGTTCGCTTCCTGCTTCCTGGGCCAGTCAAGGCAAGGTTTGGCTGTTGGCACCACAGAGAGGAACTAAGGTATTAGAGGACCTGAGGGGCACAGGCCCATTTTCTCAGCCAGGACAATAAGAGAGGTGTTGACAGGCCATGTTTCTCATTGAGAGGCCAAATCACTTTGCACGCATTATCTGAATTTAATTCTTATGAGAGGCAAGTACTTACGTTGTCTTCACTTCAGCCTTGAGGAAACTGAAGCTTGTGAGGTTAACTTTCCCTAAGTTCATGTTTTTATTTTTCTAAGACCTTAAGGGAAGAGACTGTGACATTCTGGTGTTTTGAAGGCAAGATCTGTCTACATCATGGATTTCCAAATACACAAAGCCATGGTATAAATAGACATGTAAACTAGATAATCAGAACAAAGTTCCAGGAAATGATACACTGGAACCATTTTCTTTAGATTTTTTTAGTTTGTTAGTTAGTTTGTTTTCATTTTGTCTCAAGCTTACTGAGTTTGGCACAGCCAGGATCTTATACTAATTTTGATGACAATTTAAAATATTATTGGTTGATTAGGATTACAATTTTATTGAAGGAACAGAAAGACATTGCCAACTGTTGGGTCTGAGTGTCTGGAGCCGACCTAGTAGCCACTAGTTACATGTGGCTATTTACATTTACATTTAAATGTAGTGAATTAAGATAAAAGAAAATTTAAAAAATAGTCTCACTCGCCACATTTCTTTTTTTTTTTTTTTTTTTTTGAGACGGAGTTTCACTCATGTTACCCAGGCTGGAGTGCAATGGCGCGATCTCGGCTCACCGCAACCTCCGCCTCCTGGGTTCAGGCAATTCTCCTGCCTCAGCCTCCTGAGTAGCTGGGATTACAGGCACGCGCCACCATGCCCAGCTAATGTTTTGTATTTTTTAGTAGAGACGGGGTTTCACCGTGTTGACCAGGATGGTCTCGATCTCTTGACCTCGTGATCCACCCGCCTCAGCCTCCCAAAGTGCTGGGATTACAGGCTTGAGCCACCGCGCCCGGCCTCACTCGCCACATTTCAAGTGACCCAGAGCCACATGTGGTTAGTGGCTACTGCATTGGTTAGCACAGATAGTATTTTCATCATTGCTGAGAGTTCTGTTTGATAGTTCTGCTCTATGGTAAGTATTTCTTTTTTACCCTTTGGTTTAAGGATCAGTAACATGCTTTACTAGGGCTTGCTATTTTTCACTGACAAAGGGATACATTTAGCCAAATGTTGCTTTTATGTTTACCTTTAAAAGGTGTGTGTGTGCATGCCTGTGACCTTCCCTCCCATTCGCATTCAATTTTTGACATACATTTAGTCTCCCTTTTCTCCTGGGCCCCAAAGGGGCTTTCATTATTAGCAATGCATATTTTATCAAGATACTTTCTCATAAAAGATTGTACAGCAGACAAGCGATAACCACCGCTTGAACCCTGCTAATTCCCTGCTCTCCAAATAAGAATTCAGTTCAGCTTTTAAATATGCAATTGTGTGACTTACTCCCCACCTGGGCTGAATTCAGGAGGAAAAATCACTCTCAGTGGGCCAGAACCAAAGAGCTGGAAAATCAGGTCACATTCTGCAGTGATGGCTACCCGCCAGGACTGAGATGGAGGAGACACCATTTGGGGTACTTGAAAGCTTTGTTTGGGGTTTTCCTGGATTTGACCTGCCTCCGGAGTGCAGGGAGTGATGGAGGAGGCTGGCAGCTTTGGTGTCCTGGTTACGCAGGACACTGGACGGCTGGTACTGTGGCTGTCACCTCTGCTGTGGTGTACAGTACTCCAGAATCAGCCTCACAGAAGAGAGGAAGCCACTCCTCAGGTGTTCCCAAGCAGCAGGTCCAGCCAGAAGTGGGAAATCAACATAAGCTATGCTTGGCTTAGCTGTTTGATGCCGGCAAACTCTGATGCTATTTTATGATCCCATATTGGAGGTTTCCACACTTCTTCAACCAGGAAGCCAGCTGCATCTCACTGACAACTTTCTCTGGCATTTACACTTGAAATGTCCTATCTTCTTTTTCCATAGGCAGACCTCGTGAGGGTTAGAATTTACTCTTTATGGGGGCCTATCAGCTTTTATTTGTGTGCATGTGTGTGTATGTGTGTGTTTGTGTATGTGTGTGTGTGTGTTTGTGTACGTGTATGTGTGTGTTTGTGTATGTGTGTGTACGTGTGCGTATACATGTGCGTGTACATGTGTGTACGTGTGTGTACGTGTGTGTATGTGTGTGTGTACGTGTATGTGTATGTGTGTATGTGTGTGTACGTGTATGTGTGTACATGTGTGTATGTATGTGTATGTATGTGTGTGTATGTGTGTGTACGTGTGTGTACGTGTGTGTTTGTGTATGTGTGTACGTATGTGTGTGCATGTGTGTGTACGTGTGTATGTGTATGTGTGTACGTGTATGTGTGTGTTTGTGTACATGTATGTGTGTACGTGTGTGTATGTGTGTGTACGTGTGTGTATGTGTATGTGTTTGTACGTGTGTGTGTGTGTGTGTGTGTGTGTGTATTTAAACTCCCTACTTTGCCTTTTACCCTTTGTCCTGGGGAATCCTTCAAGTTTTATGGAATAGAACTCAAGTTCCTCAGGTTTGGGGGAAGTGTTGTAATAGATCGTACTCACAAAGTTGAGTAAGAAGAGATTTGGTTAATCATAGACTCTGGTTAATGGAAACTGAACATATCATGTGTTGGGAAATTTTGAAAATATAAATTACAAGACATCAGGTTGTTTATTTAAATACTTCTTTAATTTAGAGAGGTCTTCTGAGATTTTCCAGTGTCTTATGATACCTTATAAGTGCCCCTTTCAGTGTGGTATAATCATGACTACAGGCCAGAGTGGGTCAAAAGGCATCTTTATAATGGGCAACAAGTAATCCTAGTAGAGTACTAGATGGTTAACATTTATACTGCTGTTTCTATGTGTCTGAGCTCTTCTGAGCCCTGTTAAATATTAACTCACCCTACCTTATTTAGCCCTCACCCTAGAAGTAGATGTTGCAGTTGTATCCATTTCACAGATGAGAAAACTGAGGTTAAATGGCTTCCTTGAGGTCACACAGCTAGGATATAGGGGCACCAGGATTCGAACCTCAGCAGCCTGGTTCCAGAGCCTGTATAACCAACCCCTGTGCTGTACTGTTAAGAAAGGGAATTTGAGAGCCACAGATGGAATATTCCAAATGCACTTTTCCATCCTGGACCAGATAAATGTCTTTCCGATTCCCAAAAGATGCTGCTAAGTAGGTATTTATCATGCATCTGTTAGGGGCAGGGCATTGGAATAGCTGCTGGAGGGGATGAAAAGACATGCTCGCTGCCTTCCAGAAATTTGCTGTCATGTGGGGAGATGAGGCATTACCACGAGCTCTGGAGCTCTCCCCTA